GTCTTAGTGTCTTGCTAAACTAATTGAGCTGACAGGGAACACGTTAGCCATAACTGCTTAATTTCATTGGAGTGCACAAAATACAATGATACAGCATCACAATGCAGTGTATAAATCACTGTGGAGAAACAATGTCAATGTTGGCTACTGTCAGTAGTGCTAAGGAGACAAATATTCATGGTCTTGTCACTGAAATGATAAGCAGTCCCTTACTGCAAATTTCATAAAACCAGTAGAAAGAAGTTTTATGTCTAGTGCTAAAGCTCTACTACATTTGTACTCCACATCTCTTCTACATCTGTTTGGCTTTCCTACACAAGTCTCTTGTTTGATTCAATAATACTGTGTTTTTCTGAGAACTGTGTTGCAGAAGGTAAACAGCACATCTTTGTTTATTTGTTCACTTGAGAAATGAGAATTGATGATAAATAACTTGGGGATAGTTGCTGCAGAATAAATGGTGAGCTTAGGTATTGGGATCTTTTTCCTTTTGGAAATACTGTAGACTTCAGATCATACAATTCCCATCAAGAAAAATCAACTATGAAATTTTAGCAGACATAAATGATGAGAAGTGTTTCATGGCTTTGGGGCCACTTTGGGAAGTGGGATTTAATGGATCAAGAGAGTTCTACTTGAACTTTGTTTAAGGATCTTGATGTCAATGAAGTATTCATTGTCATTTTTGAAGTGAATATTTACAGAATGTGAAAAATACATTTTTTATAAAGGGCATGACAATTTATTTTAGCATTTCTTTTTTATTACCCATTCCTAAAACCCAATTTTTTCAACAGTTTATTCTGCTTTCATGTAAGTCACTTAGTGGTGTCTCCAATGTTAATAAAACAGACTTTCCGTGGTAATTTTCTTGATACATGAGATAGGTAGTTATGGACGGAATGTGTTGCAATGGTTGTTTTTGAAGAAAATAAGGATTGAAAGGATTTTCAGTGAACAGGTCTCAGGGAAAGCCATTGCTTTTGAAGTAAATTCGCTGAAGCTGCTTTAGCTTGAAGTGCTTCCATTTTGGCTTGTTTTCCATATCGTTTGAATAGTGAAACACACCATGTGCTTCAGTGCAACTGCGTCCTTCATTGGTAACTCCATCTTCATTTGAGTCTAAGTTCATTCACTTGAGTCTAACTTCATTTGAGTAGACTTAACATTTACTCCTTTCTTCTTGAGTATGTAATTTTTAATATATTAAGATATGTTTTGCAGTGTGGATGTATATTTTTCATAATTTACCTAAGCAGCACTTTTAAATATGTCATCAACAGACTTTTTAACAGAATTTTTTATTTTTTTTTATACGTACACGTTAAATATAGCATTCAGGCAAAATCTTCAGCTTCAAGCATTTTCAAAGAAAATTAGCTGGCGTTAAAAATAGTGGGAAGTGCAGTAAAGCATTTATTTATGCGAGTTAGAAATAACCAGGAAAGCAATGAGAAGGGACTTAAGCCAAATCGCAGATGAGTTCTCCATTCATTACTAATGAGTAGAAATAAATAGCTTATTCAACTCCCTGCTGCTGTATGTCATATTTATAAAACACAAAATGTTCCTTATACTTACTTATTTTTCTTCGCCTAACTGTTCTGATTTTATTACTTCCAAAGTGTTTCAGTAGCTGCATTATATCCCTGTTAATAAAAGTGCTGGTACACATTGTCAGGCTATACTGTGAATCAGCGTTGTTGTCTGTAATGTAAAAGAAAAAAGAAAAAAAAAAAAAGCTGTATTTTAAATGTTATTGTCAATTTGGAGTATCCTCTTAAATGGTATCTGTCTCCATCCTTGGCATTAGATTCCCATTGTCATTTTGCACATTTGGGAGGCTTATTTCTTTTTTTGCCTAGATATTCTTTGCCTTTATTCTTCTTTATGCATATAACATGCACATATGTGTGTGCATGTATATAAGATGAATAGAAATAAGATTATATAAGTAGTATTGCCAGTTTTCAGATTTAATGCTTTCCTGCACAGTAACTTTCCATGGATCATTGGCCATTAACTGGCAACTTGGCTGTCTGTAACAATTCTATCGATCTAAATTTGGGTTTAAATTTCCCATTGTATACATGTTTCCCGCAGCAAATGTGTTTCTGGACAACTACCACATACAGGTAACTCATGAACTCAGGATAAAAATATTCATGAATATGGTAAAAATTTAACTTATACTAAAAATTAACATTTTTTTATTATGGTATGAGGAAAATTTGCCTTAAGATTATTTGTTGCTTCCTGTATATTGTGTGAAATAAAGGAGGAAAACTGAGAAGCTGAAATTTTACTGGTGAGGAAAAGAGATCTCTTCTTGGATCAAGATAGAATGTTAGTAGCCATCCATTTTCTGTTGCCTCCATTTCTGCATTGGGTTAGAATCAGAAAGTTTGCCAAGTGTAAATGTCTGTAAACAATGGAAGAATGGATAGAAGCTGTACAAAATAATAATATTTGTGTATGTTAAGAAAATACACTAATTGTCTCTTCTAGGTTTTAGTTGTAAATTTGTCTATGCTTGTAGAAATTTACACAATGTATTTTTTAAGCCTCATGTTCAGGGTGACTGACAAACCTATATTTTTACAAGTTGTAAAATGTATCTATATGCAAGTATTTTAAATATTCTATGCACCCATCTTTTGTCTGTGTAATGGTGTACAGAGCATAGTCAGCACAGTCACTGTGAGGTTTTGTTTCATTATTCTTTTACCCTATTGTAATTAGTGTCTTGTGCCAGGTTTCTCAAATGAGTTGGCTCCTGCTTCATCTCTATACTTAAATTATGATTCTACCAATCCCGTTCTGTGAATTTAATAGGATGCTATGGTCTTACCAAAGTAAAATCATCCTTTACTAGACATTTCATTTCTTCCACTTCTTCACAGCCTTCTGTGTGTCCGTCTTCCTAAAAGACATTTGTGTTTGTTTTGATGTTTAGAATAGTTTAGAATTCCCATATAAATATGGGAATTCCCATATTTATTGTGAAATTTTAAGACTTTTATTCTTTGAAGTTAAGAACATCATTACCTTGCAAAAATATTACTAAGTGCCTATACCTCCACTACCTCTCCCTCCCCCTCCTCCTATACATTTTATAAAAGTGTATATATGTATATTTAAGGTATATTTCGACCATCAAAAACAGCACATATGAAATCTAGGGCCATTTGATGCCAACTAATTTTTAGTTGGTACACCAGCTCTGTTTCTGGAACACAGTGTGTTTGGTTCTGACCTCCAGCATGATGACTTGGCTTTTCCTTCTGCTATACCAGTGCTCCAAATTCACAGGTTTATGTAATTCATTTTTATGCACTGAACCATGCTTGTTTAGTTTTCTTCTTCCTTTACTTTTCTGCTTTCACTGAGGTATAAAGAGGAGGGAATAATGTTCTATATATGTGTTTTATATTAATACATGTAGGTTATACTTTAGAATAGGAATAAAATGCAATATCCCAAGGATAATAGGGGAGCAATTGCTACAGCTTGTCTACTTTATGTTGTGGTATGTTATTATAATGAAGACTAATACATTTTCTTTCTGGCAATATATGACTGAACATTTTCCAGTATCTCTTTATGAAGCAAATATTGCAGTACAGTGCTGAAGCACAACAGTAACATTCTTTAGATGTAGGTGGGATATTCTTGAAAGCAGACTCTATTCCTAACTGAGAACTCATATTGCAATTTATGCAACAAAATGTTCATACCTTATAAGATCTTCTCAGTTATTCAATGCTAGAAATTAGTTTGTGATATGTCACCACAATAAGTAATTATTTCTTCAAAACGGGTGTGTGTATATGTGTGTTCCTGTTTTCAAATGCCCCAGACCGATGCATAGATGCAGGCTCCTATACTATGACATGGCTGAATCCTGGCGCTGTTGATAAATTTCTGGTGACGTTTTTGTTGAAAACAAGCTTTTGTAAGCTACCAGTTCTCACTGATCAGTGAAGACTGATCAGATCAATTCAAATAGTGTGAGGTCTGATTATGATTTTGTAAAACAAAGTAAAAAAGATTGGGTTTAGAATAGTTTTTCTTTGGTATTCCTTCAGTATTGTTTTTCAGCCCTTGATCCTGGGACCTGTGATCAGATATGCAGCCCCTTTTTGTATTTTTAATTTTTTTGTTTGTTTGTTTGTTTGTTTGTTTTGTTTTGTTTTGTTTTATATATAGGCTAATATATAATGAATGTTCTTTGTCTGTTTAACAGGTCTTAGTAATTTTTGTAATTATTTTGTCCACTAAAACATAAAAATATCTCCCAAGCACTGTTCATTAGTGGCCTTCACTGAGACAAGGAAAGCTGGCAGTCTCCTAATACTGCAAATATTTAGCCAGATGCTTAATTGTGCTCTCTGAATCGTCCCATTGAAGTAACCAGAATTACTTCATCTGTAAAATTAAGCATAAGCATAAGACTCTGTAGAACAGAAACCTTGGAGACTTCCCATTGATTTCAGTGCCCAGGGGAAAGTTAACAGACTTTGAAGAGATTTTAATTTAGAGAAGTATTTGAATGGGTAGCTGCAATTTTTGAGATACAAGGGCAGATCCAGAGTTCTTGCTTTACTGAATTCAGTGAAGACCGTGAGACGAAATTCAGATCTGTAAATGTTCCTGTTTTTCAGAACTTGCAGGCTTGTAAAGTGCTATAGATATTGCTGGTTGTTAACCATTTAAAAATATTTTCCTTATATTTTCCTTTTTTTTTTTTTTTTTTAATATTGAAACAAGAACTCAGAAGTCATTCACCAAATATCAATTACACTTCTATATTCTTATTTCTCTCATTAAGCATACACAAGCTCTTTGGTACTGTAAAAATAAATAAAATTACTTACAGAAGTTCTAACTGAAATGTTTATCTTCAAGAAAAGTCACAATGTGTAAATGTATATTTGCGCCTTTAGTATATGTATGTTATTTCAATAAAAACAAATTTTCTGTTGTTTTTATAATTACAGGACTATACCTTGACAATGTACTTTCAGCAAGCCTGGAGAGATAAGAGGCTGTCGTATAATGTAATACCTCTAAACCTTACTCTGGACAATAGAGTAGCTGATCAGCTATGGGTTCCCGATACCTATTTTCTGAATGACAAGAAGTCATTTGTACATGGTGTCACTGTGAAGAACAGAATGATCCGTTTGCATCCAGATGGGACAGTTCTTTACGGACTAAGGTCAGTACAAACCATTTCTGACTCTTCTAGTTTTAGTCTTTTAATTACAGCTTCAAATTCATATATTTTCTTTGCCTTTTTCAAATGTTATTTTTTGTATTGCTATGTTCTATAAAACTGCTGATATTGCACAAACAGTTTCAATTTAAGTGTTTTAAGAATGGATTAAGGTTTTTGTGATAAAGTTTTGAGATGAGCTTCCATTCTTAGTACACTTCAAAGATACTTAGGTACAGATAAGGATATAAATACTATTGTAAATACACATTCTGGATTAAAAGCTGTTTTTAGAACTGCTTCCACAATGGAATTGAAATAAGAAATACCAAGTGATAATTAGAGGGGGGAAAATTATGTAACAGGACTGATTGTATAACTAAATGGTATGTTTTATAAATATTTTTGAGCATTCAGTTGGTGTGTATGTTGCTCTCATGAAAATCAGTTTTCTGATGACATTTGACCTGAAATGTCCTTCAACCTAATGTTGTTAGTGTATGACTACATGGAAAGCGGTGGTTAAATAAACAAGTTCTTAATGACTGAACAAATCAGCAGAAGAACTTGAGCAGATGTCCAAGTGAGGAAAATGTCTGTTTGGTAGTATTCATAGAAAAAGCAGTTCCCATGAGAGGTAATTTAAATACATTACTGCAAGAGATGTCTAACTTAATATGGAGTGAGTAGATAACAAGATAAAAAGCATTGAGTGGCTTTAAAAAAAAATTAATAATTTAGAATGATATTTTCGTATTGAGGAAAATTCAAAATATTAATTTTGGGGAATACTAATTCTCAAAACTTTTATTACTGTATATCTTTCATTTTCAGTAAGATTTTTCCACTGTCTGACTATAACTGAGGACAAGGAGGTTGCATTTTTAACTTGGTTATTTTCTACTCAGATGTAAAGGAGAGCAGCACAGTCTTGTATATTTAGTTCTGTCATTTTAACAAATACATATCATGAAGTTCATATCTAATTAAGATCATCTGTTAGAAATCACTAGTCTTGAAAATGCTAGATGCCTTTGCTTTTCTTACTGCACTTTAACCATTCAGGTGTTTCTGGAATCCTTACCTTAGATCAATGAGATCACTAAGAAAATGTAACTAATCTTCTTATATTTAAGTATAATTCTCCTTAGAGCTTCTTGTTTAGATCATAGCTACCTAAATTGGAACTTAAATGTCTAAAACTAAGTCCTAAGTTCTTCTGGGACTTGAGGTTTAATGCTTTTGGCATTTGACTTCAGTATTGATGCCCTGATCTGAAAGTTTCCTCAGGTAGGAAAGGGTAGTAAAGTTTAGCCTACTCCGTTATGCCAGGAAATACCTTTCTCAGAATAGTAGGTTTTTATTGCTTAGTTAGAAACCATTTTCCTTGAGATCAAGAGACTGATATCAGATCAGTGCTCTCACCACTATGCTGGAGTCTGGCATCAAATACCTCCTGTGTGGTTGATCCTTGGACTCTTGCAGTTTGTGCCAGATGGTGATTCACCTTCAGAAAAGAGGGACAAAAAGTGTGCAAATGTTCATTTAGCAATGTACTTCATGGTTTTGATGCACTCTCCTAATGTGTGACACGCTGATATCATCTTTCATTGTAGAACCTAAAACCAATGTCATCAGCTTAGTAGGACTGATCTGGGCTTTTCCTGGCTCCTTAGCTTTCTCTACCCTGGAGATAAGAGGCAGTGCTTCTCCTTATGTTTGACAGATTTTTGTTTATTGTTCTTTGTTTGCTTGTTTGTTTGTTCTACCTAAAAAATAAAGGGCTGTTAAACCTACAAAACCAAATACAATTAACTAAAAATAAACAGAATTGACTACTGGGATTTATTAGCCATCGAAAGTATGGCTTCTTGGTTATGACCACAGATGAATAGTATATAAGTAATTAGATTTTTTTTTAATTATTTTTTTAGAGCACCAGCATACAAATTTGTATAAAACTTGAGATGAGATAGAGAATTTAATTAAAAATTATACAAATTAAGTCCATTTATTTATTTAATAAAGGAAACTTGAAACAAAGTATTTCATTCCTAGATATGCGGCACAGACTAAGTATTTTTATGAACTGTAGAGAAATGTTTTGTTATTTGTAACTAAATGGAATTCACTTTGATTTGAAAAGCTGGGAACAGGTTGAGTTTTTGTTATTGTTCAATGAAATGATGGATACTTGGCACCTTAAAATGTTGAAAAGTTCTATTGACAGAAACAATAAAGTATGAAGTAACTACCTAACACATTTGTATCAACAGAATGAGAGTAATAAGAGCATTGAGTATGATTTTCAATTCATGACTGAAACAATTTATTATACAAATATCAGATTTAATAACTATTTCTGACTCTTTCATTGCTATTTCTGACAAGTTATTTTTCATTCTGACTACTTAACTGATATTTCTCTATTTGATAATATTGGTAAACATGAAGTGAAACTCAAAAAAGATTGTTCTGTAGAAGAAACACGTGGCAAGTTTTTTTCACTAGAAATGTTTAAAAAATTGTGAAAAATGTTTTTTTATATTTTTTTGTTTCCCAAAAGAAACATAATATATTTGGTTAAAAAAAAAAAAAAAAAGTGGAAACAAAAAGCTTAGTTTTACTTTTTTTTTTTTTCTTTTTGACAAATCTAATTTTCACAATTTTTAAAAAATATATACTTTTCATATTCTTACAAAATAACATTGCATTTATTCTTTCTTGCAAGATAACACACGCATACACACACTCTCTCTTTTCCTGACTTTTGGAGGAAACATAACTCTATGCTTGAAATGAAAAAAAAAAAAATCTTTTTTTTTTTCCTAACTTTTGTGACATGTTCTGGTTAGAAAGAAAATGAAAATATTTAAAGGCAAAATATGTAGTGACTGTCAATGAAAATATTTCTTTGGCCTCGATTTCCTGGAAAAGAAAGTTTGTTTTAAATAAATCTTGACTGCATGTGTGTATACATGTGTTTGTATTATAACATCACAATGCTTGCTGGGAATTTGTTGCATAGGCTGTATTATTTTTTTTTATATGTGCGTTTCTAGCTTTATCTTTTTCTTGTCAATTCTGTAAGGTTTCTATCTCTGTCATTCCTGGGATGCAGCTCATTTCCAAGAAAAGCATTGCCAAAGGCAAGAAGCAAACCTGATTATCAGTATAATTCTATGATAGTTGGGTAATTACACTCAAAAATTGTTCTTATATTCCCTAATTATTTATGATCCATGGACAAATCTTTGTAGTGAAATGTAAAAAATCCTTCCTCCTGCTCCTTGCAGGAGGAAAAAAATCCTTGCCTCCTGAAACCTACTCATAAGAGTAGGTTTCAGAAAGTTTTTGGAGGTCAAATACAGGGGATGGATGGAGTAAGCGTACATGCTGATTAAAAAAAATAATAATAAAAATAAAAATAAAAAAAAAAAAAAACACCATTATGCATTTGCCTATATTCTGCTTTTGCCTTTACTTGGGCATGTGGCAATAAATGTTATGATTCTAATGTTAAGGTTTGTTTTATAGCTTTAAATCATATTAAATAGCTATTTTATCTAAAATGAATTCAAGGTTACGTGATTAAAGTGTCAATCATAGAGATATATTTAATTTTGGCTTAACATTAGTTTTCACTTACCTTAAATACCCCCCAACACACACACACAAAAATACCTGCACTCTACTACTGTTCTGAAATTACTGTTATTAATAATTTGTTTTAGCTTATACTTGCAATGGCATATTCTTACTTTGAGATGTACACTACAAAATTAAGATTCTTTTAAATATCAACATTAATTTTTTGCTTTCTTGCCTCTCCATACATGAATATGTATGTATAAATTCATATACACATGTATACATGCGTTTCTATGAATTCAACTTCATTTACCTTGATTGCCATAATTAAATGCATTGTGAGTGTCATATTACAAAAATGGTCTTAAATGAATGGTCTTTAAAATGAAGACATGTAGCTGTCCCATTCTTTTATGCTCCTATAATTTAATTTCTATTTTGGATATTGCAAGTGGTGATCTCTTAACATTGTTCTTCATTTTTTTCCTAGCGGAACCCATACATGGTATGAATGTCAGATCTGATTAGATTTAACACTGTGAAGGTAAATTTCAGGAAGATATAGGAGACTGTTTTGTAAGCAACTGGTTTATGCTGTCACTGAGTGGAGAGAGAGAATGAGAAATGGCTAACAGTGAATGTAGACATCTATACGGTAGTTACAATGTTCTCATAGCCTGCAGTGTTGCTCCTGTAGGGCTTTAGTTAAGAGCATGACTGAACTGTGACCAGCTTTTTTACAGATAATGTGATGTACTGGTTACTTTCAGTTTCAGAAAGATTTATATTTCTGAGGGATAGCTGCCAGCTCTTTATGTTTTGGAGAAATAAAGGAAAGATATTTGTTTTTCCCCGTGCAAGTTTTAGGATGGTATTTTAGAAAATGACTGAACTTTATTTTTTTTGCAATTTAAAAATGACTTTATTCCATATTCCATCTGAAAAGAAAATTTCTTTGCCAGATATGTGAAGGATATAACATTCAGGAGATGATACACTCAAATCACAAAAATGGTAGAAAATTGCAAGATATAGGCTGAAATTAAGTCATTACAGGGAAAATGATTATTAGTAGACAAGAAGGCTTTCATTAGGATATAAGTGCTTTGACAACATGTGTAGAAATGTGGATTTTGAGAACAAAGATTCAAATCTAGAAAAATAATCAGCTGACTGTAGGTTGAAAAAATCTGGAACAACATATGCAGCCAGAACTCATGAAAAGATATGGCTTTAATTAAATTTCTGTGTGCGAAAATAGCTGATTTATATAATACACATAGCAGAAATAGTTGCTGTGGCACATAAAATTTATTTCTTAAGTGAATGTATATAGTTTTCCTCTGACTTTTGACATCAAATCTATTCCAAAATGCAGACAGATAATTCTGACATGTTTTGAAGTATTGTGG